GAGAAAGAGGATAAGAGAAAAAGACAAGCCTTATAGTACCTTTATAGTAACTTCTTAAGGTAGCGCACCTTTTTATTAAAGAAGAGACTAGCTGTCTAATTAGTAAGAAAGCTATATACTTACTATATAGCCTATATAAAGAACCTTAAGTACTAGAGAGTATAAAGAAGGCGTATATAGTTTACTATATTAAAGGCGCCTTTAATATTAAGTTAGAAAAGAAACGCTATAGCCTTATAACTCTACGCTATATATATAGTATTAACTACTATCTTAACTATAAGGTCTATTAAACACTATAGCCGGTTTCTTATCTACATTTCTAAAAAGAGCCCTTACGACTTTATAGTATTAGTAAAGCACTAGTTAATTACTAACTTAATTACTTTACTTATTATATTTAAGAGTAATATTAGTCTATAGGCCTTAGTAGTTTGTTACTACTTAAGGGTCTTTCTAGGCTTATGTAGTACTACTACTTTTGCTACTTTAAACTACATAAGAAAGTGCCCTAGCTAGAGGCTTGTAGTTACTATTACTATAAGGAGCTTAGCTAAAGGGCGCTTATATACCTTAAGAAAGCTAGTAAGTAGTAGGTTAAGACCTAGCGCCTTTTAGGTACTTGTCTTTTAGAGAACGTTAGTAATATCTACCTCTATTATAGTGTTATTAATAATAAACTATTAGTACTACTTATCTTAAAGGTCTAGAATAACGTTATTAAGATTAGCTATTAATTCTAAAAAGAACTATTAGCTTAATACTATTACTTTATTATAGTAGCTTATAGCTAGTACCTTTTTATTAGCGCCTTAAAAAGGTAGAAGTAAGGCTAGTTCTAGAGATATATAGCTATAAAGCCTAGCTTACTTCTTAAGACTCTAGAGTTTTTATTAGTCCTTTAAGGTAGTAGTAAAGGTACTATACTAGCTCTTAGTTTTTATATCTTAGATTATATAGAGTTAATAAGTACTAGCCTACTAGAGGTCGCGCTAGTAGAGCTTAGTTAAGGTAGTAGTATATTAATAGTACACTACCTATACTTACTAGATAGCCTTAAGGACCTTACTATTCTACTAAAGCTTAGTATGCCTTTAGTTAACCTTCTTTCTTAAGGTAGATATATCTATAATATATATAAGCTAGAAGGTAAGTAAGTTAACTACTTTATTAACCTTATAAAGTATGTCTAGCGGCTTTAAGAAAAGGTAGAGCCTCTTAGCCTTAATCGTTACTAGTTCTTAGTCTATTAAGGTCTAGCTCTATTCTAGTACCTTTATAGCTCTCTCTTAGTAGTCCTTTACTTAAGTAATAACCTTAATTAGCTAGACGTAGTAGTTAGATCCCTTATACCTTAAGTCGCCTTAATAAGTATACTAA